TCTATCTATCTATCTATCTATCTATCTCTCTATCTATCTATCTATCGATCTCTCTATGTCTCTCCCCCCCCCCCAAATCGTTGTGGTAGTAACTATGCACAATCACGAATAGCACTTCCTGTTGCGCGAGTTCAAATGACGACGTGCCGTGGTGGAAGAGTTTCGAGGCAGTGCGGAACAGTTTTTGGTTTCATCCTGCACGTGCGATGTTTTTGGAATGAAAGTAGGACGAACGACCGTACGGCCTCCTGCGACAGCTCCCTTCTGTTCCAACTCGCGCAGACAAAGAAAAAAAAATTGCTATCTGTGCAAGTTCCCCTTTGGCCCGCTCCTTGCCCACCTCCGATTTCCCAACATAGGGACCCCGAGTTTGTCGTGGCATCAGGCGAGACCCGCTATCACCTTTATTATAGAGTATAGAAAAAGTCTAGTGCAGCTATTAGGGGTCCCCTTGTCTAAGTGATCATGACATTTAATACAAGTCTGACAAGTGTCCATTGACCTGAACTTGTCCTTGAGAGCATCATTATATAGAACCCTTATCCATCTCCCGAAATTTGGGCCCTCCCAAATCTTCTCCATGCGTTGCTGAAGGTGAAAGGCATTCCACGATGCAGACCTCAAATTTGAATTCCAGGGTAAAGGTCTTAGGCCAAGTCGGTCAATTTCAGAGAAGTCACAATTGGGTACCTTAGGAGTCAAGTCCAACAGGCACCCGGTGAACAGTTACATCCCAGAGGCAAAGATTGCGTTCTATAAGCAAAAGTCGCGTCTCGTATTGAAAAGTTATATTCCACAGGCAAAGGACACTTCCCCAGGCAAAAGTCGTGTCCCACAGGCAAGAGTCACATCCCACAGTCAAAAGTCATGTTTCACAGGTGAAAAGTCGTGACTCACAGGCCCAAACAGCAGCACACCGATGAAAATTCAGGAAAGTACCAGGCCTTGACATTCTAAAGCAAACAGGCTGCCGGCATGTGGTACTAGTGCCAAGTCAAATCAGAAGAAGTAGAGGCTGGGACGAGCTGAAGCTCAGTCCAAGTCAATATAAGGATTGGCCAGCCACATTTCAAGCAGATTGCTCATTCGTGAGAAATGTGGAAGTGTTGTTGAAGCGCTTGTGCGCTATTTGCGAGTAGCATGTGCGCAAGAGCCCTGTTGGGGCAGCGCTGCACTGAGAGGGAAGGCGGCCATAGCTGCATAGCTAGTGATAGGAGGTAGAGTTGAGTAGCAGCGGATGTATTCAAAGTTCAAGATTCTCAAGTAGAGAGAGAGAGAGGGAGAAGAGAGTGCATGCATGAAGAAGATTAGAGGAGACAGACACAGAGAGAAGAAAGAGAGAGAGAGAGAGAGAGAGGGAGAGTGAGTTAGGGAGAGAAGAGAGTCACCTACCTTAGATAAGGATGTTGGTATGGGTTGTTGAATTCTGCGTTGTTGAGCGCTTCTTGAATGGATCTCCGAAACTGTTCAATATGATAATTTGTTGGAATTTCTAAGCTGCGCATACCTGGACTTTGCTTCGCTGGACTCTAGTATGGATTTTGTGTAATCTCTCAATGTGTGTGTGTGCTCAAGGTGTCGAGCAGTGAGGCTCAATGCAATTGGTATCGGAGCGGGTAAATCGCTGCATCCGCTGGTGATGAACGTTGGCATGATTAAGGACGACAAGTGAAGATTGGAGTTTGAGATAGGGGCTATAGGCCAAAGAAGAAGTGCCCAGGTTGGGGATGGTGATTACGTACCTGCATGCGTTGAGCATCGAGGAGCTTCATCGAAGGAACGTTCATGGGTGAAGTCCATCGCCCCCTAAGCCTTGTATTTGTTTTAATGAATGGACGAGTGTTTTGGTACCTTTCCACATCGTGGTGTCACTGTTGCTGGACACTTGGTGACAATCTGATGTTGTCTTGATTTAGCATCTGGTCAGACATATGTGTATGAAGTAGGTTGTGTTTAGGCTAGAAGCTAGACAGTTGGATGTATCACCCATAAAGTAGGGAGCATGGGCATGAGTGGCAAGCGCTCGTAAAACAACTCGTCTAGCCCTAAGACCGGTACTCACCGGCATGCGACCGAACCGGAGCTGACACAGTGAGGAGCTATAAGTCTTGATAGCGAACCTTCAGATCCTGGTGGGCAAGACGTCCTGTTTGCGTCGTTAAATAATTCCTAAGGTCCTCACTAGCCTTAAAATTGTTGGTTGCCCACCAGCCTGATAGGGTAGTTGTAGTGACACTATGGGGAGGGAAGAAGTAGACGAGTCAGACTCCAACCTAGAGTAGAAAGATTAAGTGTTGAGGGTTAAGTCTACGTGGTGAGGAGGTGGAGGATACATATTTGTGCCTTTAGTAGCCATGGATGACTACCCAGTGTTCGCAATGTTGACCCTATCTGTGTTGTGGGGACCACTCCTCCGTTTCTTGTTTCCTTTAGGATTCCACGGACGTGCAGCAAGGGTGTGACCATCCCGTCTAGTGGGACCACACTGCCATATACCGCAAATTAGTAGGCAGATATTGATAGGAAGTTGGCCGAGAAAAAGAAAGAAAAGGAGGAGAAAAATAGAAAGGAGGAGGAGGAAGTTGAAAAGAAATTGGAGGAGGAGAAAAAAAAAATGGAGAAGGAGATGAAGAAGAGAGAAGAAGAGTTGAAGAGGGAGTTAAAAGAAGAAGAAGAAGGAAGATTGGAGAGAAGACGAGCACAACTAGAAGGAGGAGAGGTGGCGGAGAGCAGCCATGCTACGGAGCTGAGACTCCAGCAGGTTGAGGACTTAGATTGGGTGGAGAAATTGGGATACCGGACAGAGCTTCCTGAGGAGACAGACGAAGAGAGGGATTATTTTGTAGCAAAGCTGGCAGCAACAACAGATCAAGAGGAAAGAAAGTTGCTGATTGAGGAGAAAAAGGGGGAACTCTATCAAAAGTTGTTGGCCACAAGAAGAAAATAGTTTGAAGAGAATAAAAGATTGAAGGAGGAAGGGGAGAGACTCCAGACGTTGTTAAAAGATCAGATAGGAAAGCGAGTAGAAACTAAGGAATGCTGGTACCTTCTAACTGGCACTTTGCTTCACACCACCCAGGAACTCTCAACACTTCAACTAACCATTGGAAAGATAGGACAACACCAGGAAGAGTTTAAGGGTATCTAGAATAACTGCCGCAACGCGTCATCCAGCCAAGTGGACCATAGGGTCCTACATTATGCACGCCAATTAGACAATAGCTTCACTCAGAAATAAACTAACGCCATCGCTGCAATTAAGACAAGTGGTGGTGACGGGGGTGGAGATGGTCGCGATGATGGGGATGGCGACAAGAAAGGAAGGGTCCTAGTAAGGATGATGGAAGGAAAGAAGGAGATAGGTCTGAGGGAGGAGAATGAAGGGAGAAGATGAAGGTAAAACTCCCTTGGACATACACTGGGGAAAAGGAGGAGAACATTTTTCATTGGAGGTAGCAATGGACACGTACCTATATGCACAGTTGATTATGTATTGGGGCCACGTACTAATGGCAAGTTCATGCCTAGGCGGGGACGCAACAAGCTTTGCTTTCTCGTTAGTGAAGGAGACAGGTTGTACCTCGATGGTGTAGTACTCATAGCGCACTGGAGGATAGATGACTTCTTCAGAGCTTTGAAAGACTGGTTCGAAGACAAGAACTTAGCTTGTCGTACCGAGTCCCTTATCCTCAACATTAGTGACCGCAAGTGGAAGAGTGCGTCGCCACTCAAGGCCACTATGGATGACCTACTGCAATGTCCGGAACACGGATTGACCCCCACTCAGATCTTGAACAATTTCACTAGAGCGCTGCCAGAACCCCTTAAGACCCAATTATATCCCCGTACTAAAGAGGAGGGGATGACTTACGAAAAGTTTAGTAAGTTTGTTGTAGAGCATGCCGACTTCTTGCAGGAGGCAAACAATTGCCACTACTGGAAGGATCTGCAAGCCGATAAAAAGTGGAAGGATAATCTGCTGGTCACCTTCGAGGAAGGAGGTGTAGAGTCGTTACCGTACGTAGATTATGGTCTAGAGGAAGAGAACAACAACCAAGTAGCCCGAGGAGGGGACTATGCGGCAGTTGCAGCCTGTGGGGGAGGGCGACAAGGTAGAGGCCGAGGTGGAGGACGAGGACCCACTGCCCAGAGGGGTGGTGGCGAAGGTAGCTACTACATGGGAGGTAGGGGTTATGGTCCCTCGCAAGGTGGTAGAGGTTCTCCTTTCATAGGGGGTAGAGGTAGAAGTAGATATTGGCGGTTGTACCCAGAGCACCTGGGAATAGCTGAAGGCAAACCTTGGCTGGAAATGGGTATAAACGAAAAGGTATGGGATGATCGCCACAAGGGCGGGCAATGTTTCAAGTGTGGTGGCCTCGACCACATTATTGATTTTTGTCCCAAGTATCGGTACCCAAAAGGGAATAGCTAGTAGAGGTTGCAGTCGCCTCTACGGGGACTTCATACTGAGACAGTAAGATAGAAGTGCGCCCTGAGAAGGCACCCTCCTGTCCAAAGATCCCATTCACAGAGACTGTTGTAGGTCCCCACCTAGCTAATGGTCCAAAGGTTGCTTGTGTGGACCTCTCTAAGTGGTTCCCTCACAAGCATTGGTGATGAACTGATCAGTCGTCGCCGCGCTTGGGCCGAAATGAAGAAGAAGTCGAAGGGCCAGCTAATAATAGCAAATGTAGAGGTAAGTAGGGAAAGGATATGCCCGTTAGTAGATAGTGGGTCGACGCGCAGTTATATTAGTAGAAGAGGGTTGCAGAAGATGCATCTGAGAATGAAGGTGAAGAAGCTCGATGCGCCGGTCATTAGTAAATTAGCTGATAATAGAGAGATGATAGTGTGCGAATATGTTGAAGGGGTAAAGGCATACTTTCGGTTGGAGGCAGGGGGCAAGGTAGAAAAAGTTATGCACTCCCTGACACTCTTAGTGGAGGATAGCCTTCCTTTTGACATGATATTAGGAACAAACTCGGGCAACGCCGCGCATGCTGACTTTAAGATGGGCGAGAACGAGTGTTGGCTGCCCAGTTCCACAGGTGGGAAGGAAAAACTGTGTTTGTTTTATGCATCCGACGTAGAGAATAGCTTGTCCCTTTGTTGTATTAGTGGCCTTGCGTTCGCCAGGCACGTGGTCAAGAATGACGCTGTTGAACAAGTGTTTATTGCTTATGTGAGGCCGGTTAGTGAAGGAAAAAAGGAAGAAGTGCCTATACCACCTTATGTGCAAAGTTTGTTAGACGAGTTCACTAACGTGGGAGAGGCCCCGAGTGGAGTTGTGGAGAGGGAGACCAAGCACCGGATAGATGTATAACCCGGTAGCCGGATTTCCAAGGGCCCCATCTATCGGATGTCTCCCAAAGCGCTCGATGAGTTGCATAAACAATTGGTTGAGCCGATAGAGAAAGGGTGGATTAAGCCAAATTCCTCACCGTATGGTGCACCGGTCTTGTTTGTGCCGAAGAAAGAAGGTGATTTGCCTATGTGTGTAGATTATAGGGGACTCAACGCGATAGCCATAAAGAATGATGAGCAATTATCGTGGATAGACGATCTCCTGGATAGAGTGCAGGGTTGCAAATTATTTTCGAAGATATTTTTGAAGTCGGACTACCATCAGATTGAGGTGTTGCCTAAAGACCAACACAAAACGACCTTTAGAACTCGATACGGCCACTACGAGTTTGTGGTCATGCCGTTTGGATTGACAAATGCCCCTGTTGCCTTCCAGCGTTGTATGAATGAACTCTTCCGCGATCGGTTAGATAAATTTGTTGTTGTTTATTTGGACGACATTCTGATTTTTAGTAAGACGTAAGAGGAACACCAACAACACTTACGTTTAGTGCTAATTAAGTTGCGCGACGCACAGTTTAAGTTGAACCTGAAAAAGTGTGAGTGGGCCAAGTGTTAGGTGTTATATTTGGGACATGTGTTGGATGGAGATGGAATTAAACCGGAAGACGCTAAGATAGCTGCAATTAGAGATTGGCCGACCCCACGTACATTGACAGAACTACGGTTGTTCCTTGGTCTGGCTAACTATTACTACAAGTTCGTGAAGAACTTCACTGTAATAACTGCTCCATTGCGCAGACTGTTAAGGAAAGAGGCAGTCTGGAGACGGGATAAAGACTGTACTTCAACCTTTGAACGTCTAAAGAAGTGCTTGATAGAGTACCGGGTTTTGAAAATCGTTGATCCATCCTTGCTGTTTATCATTACCACTGACGCTAGTCAATACAGAATAGGTGTTGTACTCCAACATAATGATGGGTATGGGTACCGACTTGTTCAGTTCATGTCCCATGGACTACCTAGTGAGAAGGTTGCCATTTCTACGTATGAGAGAGAGCTATTTGCTCTTAGAGAAGCCTTGAATCATTGGCGACACTACCTCCTAGGTTGGCATTGCAAAGTGTATTCAAACCATGAGACACTTCGCTGGTTGAAGACCCAAGCTAGAATGACACCTAAGTTGACAAGGCGGGATGGGAAGTATAACGTTGTCGCTTATGAGCTGATTAGGCGAGCAGATTTCTTCGGTGCCATTGTAACATACTTCGACGCAGGCGTCGAAGTGCAAGAGAAGATTAGGTCTGCCTATACTAGTGATCCAGTCTATGATCACTTGATTGACAAGGCGCAGACGATACCGCACGAAGTTCTGGACTTTAGAGTGACCGATGGACTACTGTTTGAGAAGACAGATGTGCTCAACAGATTGTGCATCCCAAACAGTTCAGGGATTCACAGTCTGATCCTAGGGGAATGTCACGACACCGAGGGACATTTCGAATGGAGGAGAACATACGCTAACCTCCTACGTTCCTATACATGGGTTGGAATGAAACATGACTGCATAGCCTATGTTCATGACTGCAAAGTATGTCAGAGAAACAAGAGTATAAGGCAGCCTCCGCTTGGTTTACTTATACCACTGCCTACACCGTTGGGTCTTGGAGACTCTGTGTCTATAAACTTTATGGACACTAAAGTGAGAAGTAGGAATGGGAAAAGCCAGGTTATGGTGATAATGGACATATTTAGTAAGTTCGCTGTTTTTGTGCCACTCCCGACCGAAGCCAGGATGGACTTGTTGATTCGAGAATTTTTTAATCATTGGGTGAAAGACTACGGGTATCCCTTAACTATTGTGAGTGATAGGGATACGAGATTCACGGGCGAGCACTGACAATGGCTTATGAGCGTGTATGGGTCCAAAGTGACTATGTCCTCAGGCAGACATCCTGAGACAAATGGACGGACTGAGAAGATGAACGAAGTGTTGCAGCAAGTGCTGCGTATGTACATCCGAGAAGATCAGGTTGAATGGGATGAACATCTAGCTAAGGTCGCTAGTGCCTATAATAATTTTGTACATTTGGCTACAACACGAACGCCCATGGAACTACATTTAGGTTGGCGCCCACGTAGGCCCATCGATTGTCTTAACCCTGATCAAGCGCAAAGACTTCCGACAGGGACTAGAGAGTTCGCTGTGCAATATCAGAAAGACTTAGAAAAGGTGAGAGGGAATAGCAGAAAGGCACAGCATCAGATGATAGAATATGCAAATAAACACCGCAGACCTTCGCAGTTCGCCGTAGGGGATTTAGTGTGGGTAAAGTCTAAAGAGTTTCTCCCGGAGGAGAACATCTCGCAGAAGTTATTGCCTGCGTATAGGGGACCGTGGCAGATTCTCCATGTAATTGGAGATGTGGATGCTCCTTCCTATGTTGTTGACATTCCTCCGCATTTGCACACTTAACCGGTGTTCCATGCCTCCAAGTTATTCCCTTGTGTCAGCAATGAACTGTTTCTGTCTCGGAGATCTATGATTGCTCCTGATATGGATGGCAAATATGATGTGGACCGCATTGTTGTTGAGGATGTTTACAGATTGGGACGCAGGGGTAGACCCTAGCGACAATATAAAGTTAGATTTGCTAATCAAGAGCCATCTGAAGATCGTTGGTTTACTAGGGAGGAGCTAATTGAAACAACATCGCATAGTGTCTTACTATGAGAGAGCTCGGCGAGGAATCAACATAGTTGATAGGTAAAGATTATAACTTTCTCGGAGGACCTCGAAGTTCGACCGGCGAGAGTGAAAGGCATTCCACGATGCAGACCCCAAATTCGAATTTAAGGGTCAAGATCTTAGGCCAAATCGTTCAGTTTCAGAGAAGTCACAGTCGGGTACATAGGGAGTCAAGTCCAACAGGCACCTGGTGAACAGTCACATCCCAGAGGCAAATATTCCGTTTTATAAGCAAAAGTCACGTCTCATATTGAAAAGTCATATTCCACAGGCAAAACTCGTGTCCCAGAGGCAAGAGTCACATCCCACAGTCAAAAGTCATGTTCCATAGGTGAAAAGTGACTCACAGACCCAAGCAGTAGCACACCAATGAAAATTCGGGAAAGTACCTGGCCTTGAGATTCTGAAGCAAACAGGCCGTGGGCATGTGGTACCAATACCAAGTCAAACCAGAAGAAGTAGAGGTTGGGACGAGCTGAAGCTCAGTCCAAGTCAATAAGGACTGGCCCGCCACATTTCAAGCAGATTGCTCACTCGTGAGAAGTGTGGAAGTGTTGTTGAAGCACTTCTGCGCTATCTGCGAGTAGCATGCGTGCGAGAGCCCTGCTGGGCAAACGCTGCATTGAGAGGGAAGGCGGCCATAGCCGCATAACTAGTGATAGGAGGTAGAGTTGAGTAGCAGCGGATGTATTGAGAGTCAAGATTCTCAAGTAGAGAGAGAAGAAGAGGAGAGCGCATGCATGAAGAAGACCAGGGGAGACAGACAGAGAGAGAAGACAAAGAGAGAGAGGGAGAGGGAGAGTGAGCCAGGGAGAGAAGAGACTCACCTACCTTAGATGAGGATGCTGGTATTGGGTTGCTGAATTCTGCGTTGTTGAGCGCTTGGTGGAATAAAACCAATGATTTATTTTATAGTATGTGATGTATCTTATTGATTTTATCAACGTCATCACATTGTCCAACGTAAATCTCCCTGGAATAAAACCAGCCAGGCCTGTGTGGAAGCAACTCATAGTTATTATCATGACCTATTAGGTAATGCTTTGCTTCTATCTAGTGTTTCATGATGAGGGTGATTGGTCTATAATTCGTGATATTTTGAGGTTCAGCCTTGTTATCTAATAATGTCACTATCCTTGTAGAGGGGTCTGATGACTCTGACCCCAATATGAAACGGTTTCACCCAGTTCGTAGGACAATTGCAGGACCCAGAGCTCGATCCCTATACCTATCCCCGAACCTTGTACAGCAACCCGTTGACCTTGTATGCCTTGAACCCGTGACCTGTCCCTAAACACGTGTGTCTAGGTGTCATACATATAGCTAGCTCGTGAGGGCTTGAACCGTAGTCTCAGTTTTCAGAATTCTTAGGGTCAGTCTTAAGTCGTAGCTCTAGCTGTAACGAAAGGTCAGTCCTAAGTCGCCTAGGACCTTCTAGAACCGTCAAAGCTGGTTCTTCGGAGTTGTAGGGGTTAGTCAATCGTAGCCTAGGAGGTTCTAGACTCGTCAATCTGACCTTTCAAGATCGTAGCAGTCAGTTGTCCGTCGGTGAGTCAGCGAAGTGAAGTCCAGTCCCAGTCGCAATACCAAGTCCACCTTGTCTAGTCAGCAAGAACCAGGTGGGGCTGCACGTTCCTTGGGCCCAGGACTGAAGGCAAGCCATACCACAATGAAACAGTATAAATAAAGAGGAAGCGCCCAACCATTCATTTCTTCGTCTGTGAGCCATGCGGAAGTGCTGCGTTGAAGGTCTGCAGGTGTCCGACGACGAAGAGGGCAGAGGTGGATGACGACGACCATAGCCACCTAGAGGAGGAAGACGACGGCGGCCATAGCCGCCTAGAGCTGACGTCAACAGATAGGATGTAGTGTGTGTGTGTGTGTGAGTGCGTGGACATTCAGGGTAGATCCAAGTGTGTGCGTGTGTGTGAGTGAGTGCGAGGTGTCTGATGGTGGATACAGTGTACGGGTGGGAATTCGGACAGCGTTCAACGGCCATAGCCGCTAGATGTAACAACTTGACTTAAGGTGAGATCCTGGCCATAGGTCATATATATGAGATTTTTCTCTGTGGGCGCTATGCGCCATCTCACGCTTATTGCTGATTTTGCCTTGTGAGAGTTCGTCAGTCATCGGCATCTGTATGGATGCATGTTTAAAGTAAAGTTTGAAGACAAGTCTGATTTCACTGGTATCAGAGCTGGTTCTCGTTGTCGGCGTGATCGCAGCTGTCTTCGCGACGAAGAAGAAGGCCGCCGATGAGAAGGAGAAAGCGACGAGGTGAGAGAGAGAGAGAGGGATGCTCGTGGAAAAGAAAGTCCGCCATAGCAGACAACGGAGAAGTCGGTCATAGTCGCCAAGCTCGGAGGAGGAAGAAGACAAGTGGGACGAAGGAGAAGTTGACCAGAGAGAGAGAGAGAGGTGACGAAGGTGAAGAAAGCCATACCCGACAAAGAGGAAGGAGAAGTCGGCCATAGTCGAACTTAAGGGCAAAGAAGGAGGGAGAGTTGACGAAGGTGAGGGAGGGAGAAGAATAGCCAACGCTGACCGGTGATAATCGACATTGACCAAAGTTGTTTGGCGTCGACTGGGGATTGACCGGTGAAGTTTGACCAAGCGATTGACTAGCGTTGACCGACCGTTCCCATTGACCAAGCTGGAGTGCGGAGCGAGGAGCGGTATAAACTGTTCAAGCCCTAACCCTTGTCCCAATGCCCTGTGGATGATGCATAATCACATTGGTACTCGCCGAGAGTCAGTTGTCATCTCTTTCTCCAACCAGTCACTTTTGTCCAGGTCGATAGGTTTTGTTCATGTGGTCTGATAGGGGCTGTGAGCCAGTATGTGCACGAGACTTAGTAGGGGTTGAGGTGTATCTGACGCTAGACGACCTGGGAAAACACCCCAAGGACCAGTACAGACCGATGTTGCTTTGGGTGGTACACTATACCCAAACTCCGAGTTGTAGAGCTGGTGTATAGTATGTCCAAGTCTTGAGAGGACTTCGGCTGTAATCGTCGTCCTGTCTGCGACGTTAAAGAATTTTTGAGGAGTTATTGGGGATCTCCTTAAATGCCTCTTGATCAACCAATAGTCTTGTAGTGAGAGAATAGTGTAGCTTAGGCGAGAATCGAGTAGTTGATAGAGCGTCGACCTGAAGTGGAAGCCAGGTGGGTTCTTGTGATTGTGGTTGCGAGCGCATCCGTCGGTAGTGGAAAGTTTGGTGACTATGGTTGCGAAAGCATCCGACGGTTGTGGAAAGACTAGTGACTGTGGTTGCGCCCGCATCCGTCGGCAATGTAAAGTTTGGCGATTGCGGTTGCGAAAGCATCCCATGACTGTAGTAACCTGGCTGAAGTAGAAGGGAGTTCTCTGTAGTCCTAAAGAGAGTCAGAGTCTAGAGGGTTGGTCTACGTGTCGAGGAGTGCAATTGTAAGTAATTGTGCTCTGTCAACATGGGACCACCAGGACCGGAACGAGCACCACCCCCTATAGTCAAGCACCGGAAGAGAGGGCTGCCGCAATTCTCCAAGAGAAGAACGAGAGGATGTAGAAGAAAGAGCTGATCAAGCAGGCAAATGAATTGGCGTTGTTGGAAGAGGAGGTGGCCAAAAAGAAACAGATGGAAGAAGAAATGGAGATGTGGAAGAGAGAGCAAGAGGCAAAGTTGGTTGCATTGAGGCAGAAGAAGAAGAAGAAGAAGAAGAAGAAGAAGAAGAAGAACAGGAGGAGGAGGAGGTTGAAGAAGAGGTTGAAGAAGAAGAGGCTTTGGCCCCGAGAAGGGGGGAGGCGAGTTTCAGTAGGACTTTACCAGAGGAGGTGGAAAAGGCAGTTAAGGAATGGGTAGCTAACTTATCACTTGGGGAAGATAAAGAGGCAAAGCTACTGATTCCCCAAGTAGAGAGGGAGGCGGTAACAAGAAAGCTAGAAGTAGAGAGGGATCCCTTGCGTCGGCAAGCAAGGCAACATGCAAAACATCCGGACTGGAAGTTGCGCCTAGCACAAGAAAGGACAAGGCGCTTAGAGGTGGCAAAGAGGATGGAAAAGGAGTTGAAGGCGGCAAAGACTAGGATGGGGAAGATTCAGGATGAGAGAGAACTAGGAAAGAAGATCAACACCCTGTCCCGAAGCGTAGAATCTATATTGTTCGCCCAACACGAATAGTTGAAGCATATTTGCAGCCATGATATCGCGCTCGAGTCCGTACGAGTCTGATTTCGAGACTTTGCTCAAGAAATGATGACCCATTTAGTTGGGGAGATTCACAGAGCGATAGGGAGGAGAGATAATTTTTGTACGGGTGCCATAGAGGGCGCCAAGATAGCGGCTCCTAAAGAAGAAGAGCCCAGACCCCACCGCAAAAAGGTAAAAGTCCGGTTTCCCGAGCCATATAGTGGAAAGAAGGGGAAGGATTCCGCAAAAAGGTAAAAGTCCGGTTTCCCGAGCCATATAGTGGAAAGAAGGGGAAGGATTTTGACAATTGGGAGGCCAACTTCCATTCATATATGTACCTACAGGGCGTAGCCCCCGAGGATCATGTCTTGGTAGCCTTTCAGGCTCTGAAAGAAGAAGCGGCCAGCTTTGCATGGTCGTTCGCATGCGCAGCCCACTGCGGGAATGACATGATCCAACACTTTGATTTTCTCGCCAAGATGCGAGAACGCTGGCGGGACTGGTGAGTCCCGAATGAGTTCCCGTCACTCGAGAGACTGTATATGACCAAATTGTGCACGACAAAGAAAACCAGAGGCAGGAATGCTGGAAAGAGCGGAAGCATGGGCACGGACAGTAGGAAGCCAGAGACTGCCCAGAGTCGTCGGGGCCGCCAGACTAGAAATGGGTTGGCTAAGCAGAAAGCGGCAAAAGGACTGTGAGAGAATAGCAGGGGCGACTCCTTCCCCAAGGACGGAGAAGGACCGCCAGGAAGTCGGTAGGAACATAGAAGGTGCGCAACAAGGGAAGGAAGGAAGTGGGAAGGGACAGGGCGCAAGGCGCTGACGCGACAGGTGGGGCAGGAGTGTCGGGGACCACAGGGGATCGAAGGACGGNCAAGGGAAGGAAGGAAGTGGGAAGGGACAGGGCGCAAGGCGCTGACGCGACAGGTGGGGCAGGAGTGTCGGGGACCACAGGGGATCGAAGGACGGGGCGGTACCAGCAGGACAAGGTGTCGGGGACCACGCGGGACCAGGGGACGGCGTGGTGTCGGTAGGGCGAAGTACCGGGAACCACGTAAGACCAAGAGAAAGACGTAATGCAGGCGGGCCGAAGTGCCAGGGACCGCGTGGGCCTAGATAAAATGGCGGCACCAGCGGAACCACTAGCAGATTGGGTATCAACAGAATAAAAAGTGTCAGGAGCCGCGGACAGGGGCCGAACGTCGGATGCCGTCGGCAGGGTAGTTGGCGACCAACCCAAGAGGGGGGGGACGCGCGAGAGCGGGTCGTCACCCAGGATGGCGCCGACCGAAGAGGAGGGGCTAGGAGAAATAAGAAAAGGAGGAGAAGTCGGGCGCCGACAGGAATTGTCGACAGAACGGAGAAGATGGGCGTGAGGCGGGAAAAACGGAGGGCACCTAGGGCAACCCAAGGGGATCCTGGATCAAATGCAACGACAACATAAATAAAATAGCTCGACGTCAGATGGACGGGACCAGCCGGGCCGGGGAGTCCGAATGAAAATGTTAAGTGCCGCCGCGGCAAGCGCCAACGGGAGGTGCCGAGGGGAAAGGAAAGATGGAGTAGCGACAATAAGGGGGGGGGGGTCCGGCCAGCAGTCCGAGTATCCCAGACCAGCCAGGCCAAGAAAAACGAAGTTCCGAGGGCACCACGTGGAAAAAGGGTTGACCGGAGAAAATCAGAGCAAGGGGGTCTCAAACTGGTAGTGGCGGCAACAAAAAGGATCCACCTTTGGCCTTGGGGGTGCCACATCTGCAGTCCGAGGTGTAACGGCCATATGCCGGTTGCAAATCTGGTCTTGGGAAAGGTCCAACAGCTAGAAAGAGGAGAAATAGCTGTTGGACACTTGTCCCAACAGTAAATAAAAGAGAAAGGAAGAAAAAGGGGGAGAAAAGGGGGGAGAATGAGACAAAGAAGGAGGAAGGAGTGGAGAAAAAAGTGCCGCCAGGTTAGGACTGCAGCGGTAGGGACTGGCAGGTCTCAATGATGACCTCATCCCTCCTAGATCCTAGGAGGGCAGTCCGGATTGCAGAGATAAGGTCCTTGGGGCATTATCTCTGCAATATCTAAATTTAAGCAACAAAAATAAAGAAAAATGCTGATGTGAGTTGGTCGGCTCATTTTTGGGCCTTAGATCTGAGATCTGATCTTGCAGAGGAGGAGATGTAGCCGTTTTTTGTGGGCTGACACAAAACGGCTAGCTCCGGAATGAGCTGGCAGCAAAATGGAGGGAAAACAAAGAAAGGAACAAGACAAAACTGCGAATTTGGCCCAAGGTCGGGGCCAGGTACATCAAAAAAATCGAAAATGGGAGTAAGAGACTCAAATTTGGAGCAAGGGGGGCTTGGGAGTAGCTCGGAATGATGAAAACCATGGATCTCGGCCAAATCCAAGGCTTAGATTTGTGCCGCCACGTGGGAAAATGTAACGGCCTACTCACAAGAGGCCTAGACTAGAAAAAAAACGAAAAACGGGCCTCTAGGCCCTCAAATTTTGGTAAAGGCTGCATTTTGGGGTAGTGGTACCCAAAAGGCAACACTTTTTGAAGTGAAAAGAGGTCGGGGTAGGCCAAGGGGTAGTCCGAGAGGGTACCAGCCTCTCGGACTCCATGTACCTGGCCAAAATGAGGCCCAGGTACCCCCGGGGAGGCCAAAACCGGAAATTTGGCCTTTGGGGTACTTCGCTCCACCTAGAGGCACTTGGAGGGGCCTMGAGGTTGGGCGGTGCACCTGTTCCAGCCTACATAAGCTGGAGGTGCAGGCCGCCACTCTCATTTGAGCATGAGAGGTGCCCATGCTGCCCAAATGAGTCTAGGAGAGAGTCCGAGTGGAARTGAAGCAAGGGAGTGARAGTCGGAGCTAGCCTGGAGTCTGGCTATGGWGATRGGGYTGAGGGAGGAGGTCTAGAGGCTAGAGAAAGGCAAGGGAGGTGATCCGCCATAGCCCTCAGGCTGTGAGGTAGGAGGAGAGGCTGAAAGGGGTCCCCCTAGCCCTTCTAGAGGGAAGAACTCCACAG